ATTTATTTTTCATTTCACATTTATTAGAATTTGCACCACAATTGACAATGCAATTGGTTTTGTAGATAAAGTTGATTTATTTTAAATGCAGAACTTACATCGACGTTTTATACAGTCTTAACTCGGCATTTAAATAATATTAACGTCGATGCTCTTATATTAGCTATGACAGGATACATCATTCTGATAAAATTTGTGTATCAATTTACTATTATGCTGTTTGTCTACATATTATCAATGTTTAAAAAAAATTTTATTAGCGGTTCTGCCAAAACAACAACGAATCGACAAAACCTAAACTACTGTTTATACATGTATAGGCACATCATTAAATCTTAACTATAATACAAGAAAAGCCGTATGATATTAAACGCATGATAAATGATCAATGAATGTTAAAAAAAAATATGCAGATAACATGGCACATGTATAATAATAATTAACATCATTCTTATTAAGTTATTTAAGTTATTTTAATAAAATGCGACTCCTATACAGAATATTCTATTTTTATACTTAGAACACCACAAAATTTTTAAAAAGCTTAAACATAATATTATATTGCAGAAATTTACAATTCTCTTATTTTATGTATAAAATGTAATTTATTGAGCTGTTAATTCATCGACATGTGTATCTATTAATGTTTTATTGGGCCTGTTAAATAAATAATTTAGAAAAATATTACAATATAGGCTAATCATAGTTTAAAATACACACGTCCCCTAATTTGTAATTACCTATACTACCCACGTACCAATCGTTTATTTCAAAATGTTTTATCCTGTTAAGGAGCCATTTATTAAGGCGCATAGGCAATTTTTTCTAAAACTTACTTAAATTAAACTAAACTAAACTTAAATTCGTAAACATGTATACAAACATAGGATAGAGGGATCAGTATTCAGTTTTTATATTTAATATATAAATGAATATACATATATTATATTTTTGGCTTAGGTATATAATGCATACAGTCCCTATTTTTGGAGAAAAACAAACATAATATGTTTCTATTTGATTGTAACAATTCTAGATTCCATTTTATGTGATTTCAATTCTGGAAAAAAGTTTTAAATCTATAATCGTCTCGTCTGCGGTTTGACTACTATTCGACTGCTTTTTCTTATTTTTTTTTTTTTTTTAACTCGAATTGACGTATAGATATTTTTTTAAACATATTTTGTGTTATTATATTTATTGTTGGATTTTTAACACTTATTATAACTTAAAAAAATACATATTTTATTTTCTGCTAACTTTCCCGATGGATTCAATGATCTGCCGATGCGTTTGCCGCCCTAAGTACGGTCAAAGACTATTTTGGGTTGTTGTATACTGAATCAGTCGTGGCAATCGCATGCTGCGGGCGGTGGACAGCGGGAGGTACGGCGACCGCGGCGGCCATTGCCGGGAGCGCCACCCATCGGCGCTCTGATTGGCGAAAGACGTGGGCTTCGGGTCGGATTCGTCCCCGGCTCGCTTACCGTGTGTATTGTATATTGTATTATTATAGTCTTTGCATGGTGCATTGTGCCCCGCAGCTATATCTTACAGATTACGGTGCACAAGTGCGCACACACGCACTGGATTTGGGCGGAAAGTGGCGAGAGTTGGGTTTTTTTGAAAAATCGCTCAACGCTAGCACTTTGGAGGTTTGTCTCCCCCCCACCCCACCATCCCCCTTTGTTCGAAATTAATTGGACGTGATATATATATATATATATATAAAGATAAATGATCTCCCTCGTCGAGAAGGCAATCGCTTGGCGCGACGAAGGGAATATAAATTCGGGTGAGATTGGCCCGAGTGCGGTAATTATACGGGCGGGTGTCTCAAGACTCAATGGGGGGAGGGTGTACCCATATAGTATGTACCTAAAAAACCATACACTCTGTACGGTAGACTATAATGGAAATTATATCCACTACACGCATACGGCGAAGGCGCTGGAAATTTAATTGCTACGCATGCACGGCCTAAGGCGCAATAAGGGTAATCCGGCGTTTGTGACTCTCTCGAGAAACAGATACTGCAAACTTTCAATTAACATAGGAACTGCACAACATACATAACATCCATCTAACTTCTAAATCTGTCTGTGTACTACATCCCATTGAGCACATCCCGTCGAATAGACAATCGTACGCTATAAAGATAATTCAACATTACATTAGTACCTATATTTATTATTTTGTCTTTGTATTGTCTTTTATTTATAAATTAAAATTGAATTCAACAATCAAATTGATTTTCTAACTTTTCTACTCCAACACAAGCCCAGGATTGAAGGAGTAGAATATTTATATAGTTTTATGTATTATTTTGTTTGTTTGCTTTATTTGTAAATAAATATGTATAAAAAAAAACATTATGACATTGAAAAAAAATGTATGTATATTATTATACCTACAAATATAATATCCCATACAGCAGACAAGTATATAATCGTTGCCAAAATATTGTCAAATTTGTTTTATTTAATTTTATTTACAAATAGATAAAATAATAATGTATAATGTACATATGATTATACCAACAGTCGACACGTTTGTTTGTAATTATAAAAAACAATTTACGGCTTGTTAACAACAATATAATATAATAGCTATATATATAGGTATAGCTATATAACTATTATTATATGTACACTAACGTACAACTATTACATGAGACTATACACGTCGTCGTTGGAATTTACATAATGAACACTATACAACAATAAAGTGTGTTTTATTATCATAACATAACATAATATAATATGTACCTAATATGTATATACCTATTATTATAATTGTGCGCTTTCTGATGTCCTGTCCATCCAGTACAAAAAATACTGCAAGCGAATTTTGCGAGCAATTCCGAGAAAACAAATATTAAAAAATCGGTAGTTTATGTTTTTGCGCATATAGTATTATACACGTTTAATAATAATAATTTGTCCCATAAGTCATTCCGGTTAAGTATACAGCTGTATACAAAAGCTTGTATATAGGATGTTTTAGGCCGTAGGAACAACCGTGTTGTGTATATTTTATAACAGATAATGCTAGTACCTACCATAGTTTTTGTTTTATATAGTTAGGTATATTTTAAATAATATTATATGATAAAATATTTTGTACAATTTAATTATTTTTAAACATATTTTAGTTTCCCGTCAAAAAACCATTGTAAAATATTAACACATTTTAGACAGCATTATTTATCTTGATTTTTTTTTCTTGAGTTATTTAAACGATGATATTGATGTATTTATAATTATACGTGATGTTTTTTTGTAGATTTAAAAGAGCTTAGACTTAATAAGTGTCTCAGCTGTGGGCTTTGGGAAAAAAATAATTTTACTATTTTAACACTGTATTGTATTCGCTTAGAAAACACAACCTATGTACAAAATATACACAATAAAATTTCTAAAATGGCAGCTTCGGCTCATACGCGATGCCATTGGCAGTGTTTATGCGAGCGTTATCTATATGTACACACACAAAACCCATAGCCGTCGAACAGACGACTAGAAAATTTATCAGTATTTTATTTTACACACATCAACGTCAACGTGCATTTTCTTCGGTTAGATTCCATCAACAACGGCGACGACCACCTTGAACTCATTACAGTTTTCAGAAACACATTCGTGATAATATTATACATCTACAGGATGCACATATATATTCTATAACGCTCATATATTCCTCAATCAATCGTCGCGACCTCCCAGAACATAAAATATTTAGACTTAACCAGACCCGCTGTTCCGTTTCTGACATAATACATATATACAGATTTTTTTCGTCAATGCTAACATACATACTATTATGTACTTATCGTCTCCCACACGAAATAGACGAATACAAATACAGGCACATCTGTTAACCAAAAATAAACGAGACGAGCTACCCCCCTCCGGTTATTTTTGAGCTAAGGTCAGAGCAGGGAAATATAATTATTTAGTTTTTGGCGGTGTATACATTGTAGTTTAATAACTGGTCTAGAATACATATATATAATACTTGATATTATGCGTAGGGTTTGGTGGAAATTGCAGACATCAGACCATATTATAAAATATATATATATATACAATGTTAAATTTTGTACAGCTTAACAAGGTAATTGGGACTTGGGATGCTGGTTCGTCGATGATCAGACCACAGTACGGACCGCACACGATGCGCGGATTATCCTACAACGTTATACCCGTTTGACTTGATATTTTCCAGATATATATAATATCACCATCACACGCAAATAGTACCCTAGATATCGTATACACAGTGTAGGGTCTATCGTCGACGAGGGGAGGGTAACCAATATATATATATATATATATCTATCTTCTCACTGTATCTATCTATGAGAGTGAGCGATAACCGGCTTCAAATGACAGTATTGGGGGTTTATTAATTTCGACCTTACCCGTCGTACGGAATCCGATATGCACACTTAAAATATATAAAATATAATATATTATGTATATAGAGATACATAAGAAAATATGATATGATTAATTGAAAAAACTCATTTTTTGCCGCTCGAGAAACTTGTCTAAGATTTAAGTGGTGTGCTGCCGTTCTTATATTATGTAGGTATGTAAGTACAATATAAAACTATACCCTCGGATGTTATATATTATACTTGTGTCGGGGTGTATGCACGCATAGGATATAATATTTGAACGCTGTACGTGTGCATGCTTATATATTATATATAGAACGAAGATGAGAAAATGTCTGTGTGTATAATATGATATTATATAAAGCGTCTGGGGCGATAAAATTTATTGGGGTGGGACGCGAAGCCGCAGTGGAATAATATATAATATAATGTATGTATTCTTGATTTTCGACCCCGCGACTTTATCAGGAAATTAAACTCTCTCTCTCCCTCCCTCTCTTGACGTTTCAACCCTATTATAATATACGGCACGTTAAACAGTGTTTGTGTGTGTGTACATGCAATTTAATTTGAAAATGTCCGCATGCTTGTGTTTTAGATACGGCTAAATCTTAGAAGACGAAAGAGCTGCTGAGACAAAAGCGACCGCATCGAAAAGGCCTAAGGGCGAAGAAGAGACGACCGCGAAGATCGTCCGCACCCGATTTCTGCACGAAGCCAATGTAAACGCCTAATCGTGGACTCCCAAATTCAATCAGGTTATTTTTCCAACAGGTCAGTGCGATAATATACCATTAACGTGTATTTAATACACATAATATACCTAATAGTGTCTTAAGTGTAGAACAATAGGGTCGGGTATAGGAAAAAACCAATAATTGAGGCAGATACAGAAAGTATTAGTCGTTTTACACGAAACTTATTAATTTTTGTGTTCTATTTAATTTTGCATTAAATTACATGTTGTAAAGTTAAAAATTGTACATCTCACAGTAAAGTTAAATATTTTCACCTAATTTATTTAAATAATATTACATCAGTGCCCGATTCGCTTACAATTACCCTAATAATTTTAATGTACAGCTGTGCAACGCGCCCGTCACTTCAACATTATACACTTGCCAACTATACCAACGTTTTTCTCATTCTTATTGAATCAAATTTAAACATTGCATCAGTCGTATTGATGCATATAAGCATATTAGACTGTTCAAGTATAAATGCAACTGCATAAGATTAATTGGTCAGTCACAATGCCGACAACCGTTGAATATATGTTTTTTTATTACTAATTATCTTGAGCCCCAAAAATATGAACAAAGAGTGTCCACCAAACGCGAGTTTATTGCTTTTCATACATATATTACTTATATATATATATATATATATATATATATATATATATATAATTTTCCCATAATTACTAAAATATGATAATTATACAGAACATCTGGTATTCATAATTATTAATTAGTATCGCTAGCTGTCGGACTGGGGTGTATTCTCCTAAGCCGGCGGTCGGTTTTTTTGTCATTTTGTGTATATTATCTTATTGGCCTTTAGATTATCGAGCCACGTCCTAAAAAAAAAGAGGAGTGACTTTTTGAAGTGTTTCAAACAAACGGTCACCGTTTGTCTTGCACAGAAAAAAAAATCTTGCCCTCGTGACGCGCTCCAGACACACATGACACATAAATACAATTTAAGTAGAAAAAACGTGCGAAACATAAATTATCAGCTAAGGCGTATAATGTAAACCCGTATAATAATATTATAATATATTCGATAAAAATCTTAAAACAAAAAAATCCAGTCATGGCCAACGCTGTGACAATCCTCGGTCTAACAATATATTATATAGGGTGTTTTTTTATTTTATAGAATATAATATAGACTTAAAGCAGTATAATTTGATGACGTCTTTGGAATAAAATGAAAAAAATTTGTTTTCAAATTAGAATTTTAATGTATTTTATATTAAAATCTATTCCTCTTCTTGTACCGATATTACTATTATAACACCACATAAATAACTATTTAATTCTATAGGTGCACATGAAGTATCTAAAATAAAAATAATAATTGAATTTACATACCAAATAATGTATGATACTTATAATACTTTAACGTTTTTAAATGTTAATATTTAATTCTTTATTTTTTAGGTAAAAATTAAAACACATGCTTATAAATCACATAGACAAATAGCTCGAATTGTAGACACTAAAAAATAGTGTACAAAAAACCTCAAGGACACTCCTTTGGATAAACCAAAATTTTTTTATACATAAAATAAATACCTTAAGAAAAAAATCAATTTTTATCATAATAGTAATCCTTTATTCCGAGGAAGTTTTTTTTCGCCTTATTTTAACTATCCATAGTGTTTTTAAAAAAATGTACTCATTCAAAATAGGTAACGTTTTTAATCAAATAAAAATAAATTATTGAAAATATAAGTTAGTCATATTATTATTCTGTTAAATAGTAATCGACATAAATATATTTTACAATTATATAACATGTATAAATCGCTTATTTAAGAATAGGAATACGCCAAACAAAGAAAACTGTTGGAAAATACATAAAACTGTATTAAACAAGTTTCTAGTAAATTTTAATCTAGTATATTTTGTTGAAATTATTTATTATAACAACCGCAGCTGGTTGGGCGTTTCCCCGGGAAGAGTGCACGGTTTGTCTGGGACAGTTGTAACCCTCCCTGCGCCGGCCTGTGAGTTAAGCTGCAACCAATTATCATATTTCAGCCTATAAATTTCCACACAATTCTAGTCCGAAAAAAAGACACTTAAAATATGTGTACTTTGAAAATAATTATTTTGACACTCGTATCATAATATAATATAATATGTAATGCCGGTCTAAACAAACGCTGTGTGTACAAACGGCCATGTTTCAGCCACATGGGAAACCAGCGTTCTATGTATATTATGATAATTGTGTATAATAATAATGTAAAGTGTCTTAGCAGAAACGACGGGCCGACACGTGTTTGCGACACCCAATATCTCCCCTGTCCCGTCCCCTCCACCACAGGGTATTTTCTTGGCTGTCAAACAGCCGACGACAGGCGGTATTATATTTAAATATAATATATATTTTTATATTTTTCCGTACAGACATATTATATTTACGGAAGTTTCGGAACGCCCGCTAAGTCATAAATTTTGAAATACAATAATATATAAGTCCCGCGACACGCACCGGAAATGTATTTCGAGACTTTTGAGCGCCCACCGGCCGGGCACATTACTTAAGTGTAACACATTTGATATTACACAGGGTAGTCGACACTAGCTCGGGGTCATTCGGTATCGAAGTAGCACATAAGTCGAGTGCCTAGATATGCGATGATGAACACAATACTAAACGTATCCGTCGCCATGGTAAACGAGTATTTCTGTACAAGTCTGTCATCGCAAAGTCGACGGTCATACACATAAATATATTGCATGCTACTTTACCGTCTATAATAAATATATTATATTGCAGCTCGACCGAGCGCAGTCACAATATAACAATCGTGATGTCTGGCCAAAACCCAAAAAAACCTTCTGCACAAAGTCCATAGGGATGTATATATAAAACAGAGAAATGTACTTCTACTAAATATAATTATACATACATCCATACATATTATATATTATACAATGTATGTGTTGTTCAATGCTTTATAAATATATCATAATATACTCATTTGGCTTAAAATTGGTATCAGTATTAACATTCAATTTTATTAAAATCGTTAAATTGATCTAATAATAATGTATTCAATTAAAACGATTTTTTGAAAATTTGATATAAATATACTACTGTAAAAAATGTATAAATCATTTTTAGATCTAAATATTGACAACACATGTATTTTTTGACCATTTTAATCATTAATGTCGTGACTGCACCATTACCCATAACAGTTAAATTATTATCATTCAAATAATGATAAAAGTTATCATTTTTGTGTAACGTTACTTAATCAGTAATTAACATATAAGTCAAGGGCATCGTTATAACATATTTAGGCCATATATTATATAGCTTTTATGGTCACAGGCAGTACAAACATATAATGAACCGGTTTTAAACTTCATTAATACATGTGCCCAACTCTGATTGTGAGATACCTATAAAAAAATAAAAACACTAATAGGCTTTTTAGTTAGTATTAAATAATTTTAGTATGCACTCAAGCCGGCGTTACAATTTCAAGACTCGTTATTTCATAATAATTGTATAGAGCTATAGGTTATTGTTATTAGGCTACAGTTATTGGTGATTGATATACCTATTTACTGCAAAACAATATATTCAATGAAATTCGCGGTTCGTTCATATTACTATACATGTATATATAGGTATATAATATAATGATATATAAATCAATTTGTTATTTTTTTTTTCCACTACTGTGTGATTTATCGTTTCGTTTATGAGCGCGTTATTAAGACATAATATAATGAACGCTATTTTACTACGGCACATAATATACAAACGTGTTAAGTCCACTCAAATAATAATAAAAAAAATTAAAATACATGTATACATTTATTTTATTACTGTTTTTATAAAGTCGTTTTTGACTTGTCGGAGTATGAAAAAAAAAACAGTGAAAGACTTACATAAAAGCAATTATTATACTAATACGGTTGTTATTAAAATGCAATTACTGTGCGTTTTTATGGACATTTTTAAACACCTTCTTAATATATAATTATTATACTATGACAACATTATCACAGAGCGCAGTGCTATGTAAAAAAAAAATTGCACTTTGTCAAATGATCCAATTCACACCAAGTATATATAATTTATAAACAGTAAACTATTCTAAAAACAAGGAGGGAGCAATACAAAATGAAGACATCGTCTCATAAGACGTTCCCGAGATGATAAATCTACTCTATTTCATTATCTTGTCATTTTCTCAGATTTTTTTCTACCCAAACGACAATTTAACGGTCCGTCTGTTGTTTTAAGACCTGTAGTGAGCTTGTCAATTTTCTTAGGTTCGCTCCATTTAATCATGTATGTAATAAATTCAACGGCAAGTTTTTGTTTTAGGCCAATTTGTTTGAGCTGACATTGCGGGGAAACTGTGCTACCCCTTGATAATAATTGTTTATACCCCCAATGGGAACTAAAGGCATTTGACGGCTCCCCATGTAACTCGAGCACCGCGAGTATTTTCACCCTCCTTTGTATAGTATAATTGGATTGACGAGACCCCTTATTTTTGTGCCAAGTCGAGTATAGCCAAAAAAATAACATTGTTACACTCTGTTAGGCAGCAATAGGGGACTGTGCTCCATTTTTGGTCGACATCTTGCATTTGTAATTTTATATTTTCCCTCAACGACACTCTGTGTATATAGATGAGCCTCGAGCGTCGTTACCTTAAAATTTATGCACCATATCTAATACTATATGTTGTACACACCACGTGTAACACAAGACATTATGTTTGTCCATTAAGAAGATGCGGCATATTTACACAAATCACGTGTACACATGTTAATCAGTAGGACACGGTTAACGAGATATATAATGTAATAAAAAAGTAATGATTTTCCTAGTTTTAATTTGTCTATTTTGTTTTACAGGTTGCACTGTTTCTTGCCTGCAATCACTCTGGCCAGCGTCCAAGGTAATTATCGACGATCAAAAAATAAAATAATAATGTATAGGTAACAATATAACGCTGTATACTTTTGAGTCCAAAAGGACCACAGTGGTATTGAATCAAATTGGCCAGAAATAAAACGTTTTTTGATAAAATATACTCAGAAAAAAATACATAGTTGGTCCAACTAAATGTGTAGTTGCTTAGACTAAACATTTAGTTGGTCCAACTATTTATTTAGGTATTCCAACTAGAAATTTATATTGTGTCCCTATTAACCATAATAATTATATAAATTAACATAATTATCAATATATTGATTATAATTATATTATTAACTATTAGGTATATAATTAATTATTATATTATATTAACTGTAAGTATAGTTGGACCGACTATGTATTTTTTTCCGTGTTGGCATATTTTATCAAACATATTTTGATTTAACGTCCTCTAATCCAGTGCGGAAAACTCAAACTCTATAGTTGGCCAATTATTGGTTAATATCACGATGGTGTGCTGTTTTAGACCAAATTTACAATTATATTATGTACCTAATAATCGAGAGTTACAGCTGTAGGTACGATTTTTTTTCTTTTTAAATCACATAAATGTCGTCGCCCTGAAAACGAACGCTTAAATTACAACTATAATTATAAGTCCGAAAACGCTATCGCGACATAATATAATAACATAGTATCGTGACGTATAATATAAATTGTATACAAGATAAAAATGAGTTATCTATATTATGTACGTATGTACACTATACTTGATCATCATTTAACATATAATACATACAACATAAATATGCGCTGGCGGAAGAATGACAGGAGGGCGGTCGGACCTCCCGCGGCGGTGGACCAGTCGAAAAAACACATGCGCGCACACACACCGAAAAAGATGGCCGCTCCTCCTCCTCTTTCTTCTCCATCGCTATATTCTGATTAAGATCTGTATAATATAAGTATATAATATGTAGGTGTATTACATTGCTAGCGGTGACGTTTTTCAGTGCGTTTGTCACAGCGATGGTGCGGCGCGCAAAGGGCAGCGCAGCTGGCAGGTGCTAAGCCGACATCTTAATTATTAAAAAAAAAAATATATATATATATACGCAGGCAGGTATATGAATAAAAACACATTCTTATACTCGTTACTTGGAAATACAAGATTTTGAAAAAAATAAATATATAATTCCCTATACCATTGTAACTATACCGCCGCCGACGATCTTAATCGCGTTGCTCATAGAAAAAAAAACAATAAACTAAAAATTAACATATAGTAAATTTCTAGTTTGAAAATGACTAAATAAAAATAAATAGTTGGACCAATCAGAATTTGTAGTAAAAGCAACTGTACATTTAGTTCGGCCAACTATGTACATTTAGTAATTCCAACTATAAAAATTTATTGTGTACATACTAGCTCTTGATTTTTCTCTGTTGCCCTCTCTCCTCTCCCTCCCCCTTCAATGCTGGACCTTTAACGCCCAGGGCACATGTCTGGTTGTATATTATATAGGTACGGTATAATGTTGTATTATACATTGTAATATGGTGTATAATGCGAAATTTTCCGTCTCGTCAGACACACACACACACACGCCATATAATATATCTCAACCCTCGTACACATATATAATAATATAAGTACTGTTGTTGTAGTTTTTTTTTTTTTTTGTACCCTCTTTTCTTTCTTTTTTGCAACGTCACGAGGACAATGCGAGAGCTCAAAGGAAATTTGTCGTTGCACGGTTTGTACAACCGTTTTGTGTCGTGTGTTTGTGTTGTTTTTTTTTTCTTCTTTCTTATAAATTTCGCGACACCGGTCTATATATTATTATTATTATTACCATATAGGAGAGAGGCCGGAACCTATCCGGGACGACACGGCACTTTGTACGGCCAACAAATTCGAGTCAACACTTCTTTTGTTCGACAGGGGTGGGTCGGCAAACGGGGGAAAATAAGAAAAATGGTCTTGTAATGCCTATTTCCCATGCAGGTATATTATAAATGGGACACACCTTGTGAGCTCTGCACACGCTTCTCGGTATACAAACGCATTCGAGGCGCTGGTGGCGGTGCACAAATAATATAATAAAAACCAACGCCTTTTTCTTATTTTCTATACAGAATAGGACTACCAGACATTTTGCCGTATCCGTACTTAAATTATGGCACCCAATAAACACCGTGACAATGTCTCTTCTGTTTTTTTTTCCTCATTTTTTTTTTTTTTGCACCCGAATGAGCGATAACCTCTATAGATCTCGCGTTCTAACGATATTTTCCGTTGCGCGTAGCTGATAAAGAATCACATAAAAATCACACAAGATTTATCAGAGAGTGTACAATGTAATTAGGTACGATACACATTAGATCCAATATAATATGTAGACGTGTAATCTGAGGTCGAGTGAAACTGTAATAGTCTGCCCGGTCGGATTTATCTCGTCGGACATTTTGTAATCTAAAAATTTAAATCTCTAAACGTTATAATTGGAAGACCTAATAAACGACTTCGGTACATTATCTAGTATATTTAGATATATCATTCTATATAAAACGGTCCGCTGCGTTATCGCAACCGGTTGTCACTGGAATAACGTGTTTTCAGAAATTTCGATTTGAATATTATACAGGAGTAAATGAGTATCCAGACATCAGTGGCGTTTTTACAATTTTCTTGGAGTGGAGGATTACAACAAAATAATTACCTCTTGGTTCCTTTCTTGCCCTTATGGTCGGACCAAAAAGAGATGTAAATGCATAACGCTGGTTAGGTATATTGTTTGTTGTTTCAACAAAATAGATTTATTCAATATTATGTTTGCTTGTTTGCTTGTCGACAGGAAAAAATGACTTTTTGGGTTAATGAAATTTATCGAACTTCATATTGCTATACTTTTATTTGTTTTAATTTATCGGATATTAGAATAAAATTTTGTTTTATTTTTTGTTCATGTGACATTTTGTCCAAAACTTCTATATGTCAACAAGAATATGTTTGTATAGTAAAGAAATTAATATTTAAACCCTTAACCATACAAATAATTTTTATAATAAAGAGTTTAAATATTTATTTCTTTACTTATAAAGATATACAACCACAAGTTGCTTAGAGTTTTTTCTAGATTAATATGTTTGTATTTATTTGAATAAATATAAATGATTTATAAAATATATTTTTTCAAAGAAGCTCTTGGGACAGATCACCTCCTGTAAATACTACTGCACAACGGGAAAGCTTAATTTTATAGATAGATATAGATGGTTTTTATGCGTCAGCTCGGAGAAGTGTTGTATCAGTAACGGTAGCTGGATAACGTATAGTATGGCCCAAACAATAGAATAGAAACGGTCGAGGCACGCGCCGTTGTCGCCATTGTACTCGCCGTAGCCTTGATGGTTGCCGTCCGCCGCCGCCGTTACCGGAACCGTCGAAAGGAGCGCCTTTGATCCGTGCAGCGGAGGGGCGGGGAACGAAAAAAAAAAAAAGGAAGAGCAGAGAGAAATGGTAAAAAATACGGTAGCCGTAGAGCAGCGCTACTGAGTGTGATGGCGGCGGCGGCGGCAGCGGCGTTGGCTTAGTTGCCGGCCTGTCCGTCGGGCGGCGCGCCGTTTCGGGCAGCGCGGCGGCGAGACAGCGACAGAGAGACACCGGCCGGCAGGAGGGAGAGTGAGACAACGGGCGGCCGGCGTCGTACACACGTATACGCAAGGCATAACAACAACAACGCGCTCGCGTCGGCCCGTTTGTGAGCCGTCGGCCGCGGGTCACCCGTCATCGTGTCGACCGTCACTACTCGCGCAGTCCGCTCTCGTGCACCGTGCGTACGAAACTTCGGACCTGCACCGTCGTCTGCAGTCGAAAAAAACATATAGCGGTTGTATCACGCGCGGGTTTTTTTTTTAAGTCGGTAAAAAAAAAAAAAAAACAATTTTATTTACCCACCAAAGGATGTTGGATTTGTAATTTTTTTTTTTATGAATTTCTGCGCGACGACGTTTGTGCGATTTTATCAATTTATTGTGTAGTCGTTATTTTTTTTTTTTTTAATTATTAGTAGTTAAATTTTTTAATTCATACAATATATGTTTTCGTTATACTCTAAACTGATCTGGACTTGTTTTGTTTGTTGCCGCCGCTTTCGTTTTGCCTTGACGTCCCGTGCCCATCGTCGTCGTTGAATCACCTGGTGCATCGTCGAATCTACAACAATTATCATCATCGGCGACCTCGGGGACGCTGCCGTCGGTACGCTGTACGGTGGCGGTGAACACGATGTTACCACCGGAGCAGGTTGCCCGACCCCGACAGCCGGACCCGGGCTGAGCTGGTGGACAATGATGAACGGCGGCCTTTACGAGGAGAGCCCGCCGCCGCCGCCACCACCACCACCGGTGCCACCGCCGGTGTCTCAACACCAACAGCAGCAACAGCAACAACAGCAGCAACCCTTATCCGGAGGAGGTGAGGCTCGCATCATCAAGACGTCGCCTTCGTCCACCCCGATCACCACGGCGTCGTCTTCGTCGGTAGCCGGCACGCCACCGCCGCCGACGCCGCTTCACATACCGGCCAAGCGACTATTGCACGCGCCTCCACCTTCTTCGGGTGGCTACGAGTGCATGGACTCGGCGGCCGCCGCGGGTGTCATACGGCACTCGCATCACCAGTGGAACGCGTACTCGCCCGTGGATCACGCGGTCGCCGCGGCCGCGGCCGGTTGCGCGTTCGACCAGTACCCGGGCGCGGGCAGCAATCACCATCATCACGCGGCCGCCGCGCCCACCTACTACAACCTGGCCGCCGAAAACCACCGAGGCGTCATGCCCGACGGCCGGAAACCGCCGACCGGCTTGCCGTTCTGGTCGCCCGCCGCCACCGACTATTGCGGCAATAAGTATACCAACGGCGGCGGAAGCGGCGGCGCCATAACGCCGTGCAGCAGTTCCGCCGGCCCGGCCGCCGATCAGTTCTCGTCGCAATCGTGGTGCAATTACTCGCCATACACCACGTCGTCGTCGTCTTCTGCTTCTGCCGCCGCGGCAGCCGCAGCCGCCGCTTCCAGGCACTCTTCGGCCGGCGGCGGCGGCGGTGGCGGCAGCGGCGGTCCCGGCGTGGACACCCCGCAGTCCGTCTCGTCGTACTTGAGTCCGGGCGAGGACAGGAACCCGCGGATGGCCTCGTCGGCCGTGGACAGTTCCGGTTCTTTCGGCCACGATACCTCGTACCCGCTGCGGAGCTACGTGAGCGGCCACGATCCAGTTACCTCCACACCTTATCCACCAACAGGTAATGTTTTTTTTATATTTGTATGTTTATTAATTAAAGAAAAGAAACGAATTGCGGTGCAAAATAGAGTACATAACCCGCCGAATATACTTAAATTTCTTAGGTCGGACGGTAAATCCGTTCGGCGTCCGTGTGGGGTAAAAAAAAAATGTATATTATAAACCTTCCTTGCGCAGCGATCGCGGCCGACTCGATCCACCCTTGCCCGTGTATAATAATAATAATATAATGTGTAACGCATGTGGGGTGTGTACCTGTGGTGCAAAGAGTGTTGTCTTGGTGCGTGTGTGTGTTTGTATGCGTGCATGAGTTATAAAAGAACAAACGGCGGCGGCCGTCGTAAACTACACGTTTTTATTGGACGGGTAGGTCAGCTGTCGCGGTGAGAACGGAGAGCACAATATGCGGGTCAAGAATATGTAATGTGCCCCACGAACGGAGGCCGCCGGGCTACCGAAATCACAAGACGGTGGTAAAAAAGAAAGAAAAAAAATTACAAAGAACCGCCAAGCCAAGTCAAGAAAAATACAAACATTATTGTGTACTTACTATGCTTATATAATGCGTCTACTATTATTTATCGGCCCGTTATAACAATGAATTGTAATAAATATGTTGTGTTTCGTGTTGCGGTTTTTGATACAATCTCGTTGTTTGAATATTTTTAATTTTCTCAAATTTCATTTTTATAAATACACACGATGCGGCGAAACGGACATTGCGGCAATAAGACTTACTTAATTTGTACTTAGCGGATATTATTTTTTTATTTATTTTTTGTTCGTAAAATTATGGTTTTGGCCGGTTTTCAAAAATCCGCAAAAAAAAAAAAAAATGTCTTCTTGGCCGACGCCAATTATTATTATTATTATTAATATATATTATTATTAAAACGGTGGCCGCTTTTTTCGCGTGCCCGGCCAATGCAGTGTGCGTTGAAAATCCATACAAAAAAAAAAAAAATGCAGCTGTACACACAACATTACAATATAATACTTACTCACGGGGGTGGAAATTTGCGATAAATTCGGGGTGGTCAAGAGGGGAGGGCTGGCGAAAATGCGGGGGAGGGTCTCACCTGATGACCAAAACATCACCACCGGGGCCGTAAATATAGCGCAACCATGTTTTTTATTACTCGTCCATGACAGCTTTACGGCTTGATACTTTTTTACAACTAGTAACTACCGTATACACATACACACACACAACACATCTATGTAGGTACCATATTAGAATATTATAATACCGGGAACGCTACGATAATAAAGAAAAAAATCTACTATTCAATTAAATATCTTTAACGAACGAATATTGTATTAAATTAATTAAAAAAATATTTATAAAGGTCCCCTTGACGACATAGTATATTATTGATAATTATATACAGGAAAGCTGTATATTAGGAAAAAACAATCGGCCGTCCGTAAAATATATTATTATATATTTATATGTGTATATTATTATATTATACATACTTCCAAGTTATAGTTGCAGTACCTAGGTACATACAAATGACTAATTTACTTCTGTAAAACAACACTGTTTTTTTACCGGTCGACTCTGTCGCTTGAATAACGTACACGCTAACGGGTCACACGCAAACACACATAAACCGGTTTTCGATTATTTGCATAAATTATAATAATATAATAATTTGTTTTAATATAATAATATAATAATGATAATAATATTGTATGGACAACGCCGGTTGATAAAATTGTACAATTTAGCGTTAATTTGTTTTTTTTTTTTAACCGTGTGACGATCACTCGTGTGTCACTCGTTGCCTATATTTAAATAATTGTGTATATAAGTTTTTTTATCTCTAAAATTATTTCTTCCTATTATGCCGTTATGTGTCTCCGCCAACACAAAATCCGTAAAAAAAGATCCGTACCTACGTCATGCGCGCGCGCCATATTTTTTTAATATTCATTCAATATAATAATAAAAAAAAATACACCTAAACCGCAACACGGTATACCTTTACACACACACACACACACACCCTACCCGCGTGACATCTGCTTATAATAATAATAATAATAAGAATATTTAACGCTAGTGTACTTACATATATAAATATATTATTATAAGGGTTTCCGCACCTTCTTGCGCAACGCAAACGAACCGACGGCGTTGGTTGTGTGTATGTGCACCTAATATCCCGTACAAAAGACATAGGTATAATATGAGTCATTTTGGTTGTGTGCCTTCGCAGTTTTTGCACCTCTTCGACGGTACCATCTTAGCCGTCACCCCCCTTACGGGGTTAATATTTCCTAAACACTATTGCTTTCAAACCTTTTAAATTGATATTATTATATTTTATAATATCTAATATTCCCACCAAACCAACGTGAGAAAATATTAACACAACCTCCCCTTTTATATTAGTAATATTTATAATAATTTTTCATTGGAAAATAACAATGTTTAACTATAATAATAATTGTCCAAACGAATTTACATAGTTGTTATTAAGAAATCAAATATTAATAATATAAACATACAAGTAATATTCACCTCATTACTATTATGATTTGAATATTTAGTCATCAGGCCATTAGTCATGTTCATATTCTCGAATTAATGTATGTGATATAATAGTTTTATAAGCTTTAATGATTTTTAACTTTACTTGAAACGAGTTTAAAAAAATAGTTATAGTTTATAAGTTTAGTTTAAATGCGTTTAGGACGATCTTTGATAAGACAAAAATCTAATGTTGTTGTTTTTGTTTGTTTCTTCTGTTGTCGAGCAGGTTCGTTGTCGGGCATCGGCATGGGAGTGAGTTCGAACCCGCTGGAGTGGACGGGCCAGGTTACGGTGCGCAAGAAGAGGAAACCTTACTCCAAGTTCCAAACGCTGGAGCTGGAGAAAGAGTTTCTGTTCAACGCGTACGTGTCCAAACAGAAGCGATGGGAGCTGGCCCGGAACCTGGCGCTGTCCGAACGCCAGGTGAAAATCTGGTTCCAGAACCGGCGGATGAAGAACAAGAAGAACAGCCAGCGGCAGGCGGTGCAACAGCAGCAGAACAGCAACAACAACAACAACAGCAACAGCAGCGCCAACGCCAATCACCACCACATGGTGATCGGCCATCACGGGTCCGCCAACGGGCCCATCAAACATCATCAGTGACCGACGCATTACTCTGGAGTCGCACCCGTCGCGCCGCCGCACCACCATCCGCTCCATCACCACCACGTTCATCATCAGTCGCCACCGCACCACCATCACCATCACCATTACCCGCTACAACCAGTCTAAGAAAACGATAAGTGAGTGTCGTAAGAAAATAATATAATATTTATAAATTGCTCACTTAACGAAGTTCTTATAACATACTAAACAGCTAATTAACCGACTTAAGTTATCATCGCAATAAGTATATAATTATTATAAAACCTCATTGACTATGCATTACAATGTTTTCTTTGTAAAACCCTGAGAACCTTGTATATGAGACAAAAACTTGTTTTCAAAAATTACCATACTGCTACCGTTGTTTCTTCGAACCCCATTCAAATCGATCGGTCCGTGTCAGTGTTATAAAATAATCATGGTAATTATCCTGTTTTTTTATCTATATTGCTCAAATTTGCCGGTAACACACATTCCATATAAATGCGCTAAAAGTAAAAAAAATAAATAAATAATTAAGATGGACAAAAACGTGACGTGTATTATCCCAAAGCGACTCCAGAGTGGCCGTCAACGCGATAATAATAATGATAATATTACTATTATTATTGTCATCGGTGTTGAATATATAATGTAATTATAATTAATTTATCGAAAATACTGATTGGACATTTTTTAAGTTACTATATTATAATATTTATTATTAGAATATACTATTAGGCTAAACTATAATAATATGTAACGTGTATTTTAAATATAATATATTTTAACGAAACGTGTATATGATGCAATACGATATGGTATTATATTAATTATAATATTGTAACGCTTTAAAAAACAAAAAAAAATCAATGATTAATGTTTAAGGTCCCCGTGTTGGACATTTCTATATAAAAATAATATAACGATATTGTATATTTAAAAGTGTTTTTTTTCTACATAGCTTAACTATTCATAATAATAATTATACCATATGAAAATAAAGTAAAAATAGTTATTACATACTTTTTTTTTCATATTATAAAACGCATAACCGGTGTTTGTTTTTTAGATGAAAAAAAAACTATCGATCTCCGACCTTAAGCGAGTTTTAGTGTTTTTTTTTTTTTTTTATAAATGTAAATATACAATTTTAACGATAATTATAATACTATTATTAGAACTATTTATAAGTATTTATACAATTTATTAATTATTTAAATATAGTCGTTTTTTATTTAGTACGCCCACCTCAGCTCGTTTGAACTCAAATTGCAAAAAAAACTAAAATTACTCAAAATATATAATAACCCTTTGATGAGCTTTCTGATTTTTTTTTTTTTTGTTAAGTTTTTCTTAAATCCGTATTATAATATGAATTGTCGTCATTTGCAATATTATTATATGTTTTTTTTTTGTTTCGTTATACCTATATGAATAACTTGTATACTTAGCCAAAGTTGTATCGGAATAGACATCTTATAAAAAATATATAAGTAAATACTTTTGTCGTCTTCAATATATTTTGTTTTGTACGTTATTTTGAGTTCTGGTTATGTATGATTATTTTTATTTGTTGAATTAGTTCAGTTTTTTTTGTTTTTTGGTTCGACCTTTAGCGTTTAGACGAAATAATATAACACAATTTATTGGTGCCAAAATCTATATACTTTTCCATATTATTATTATATTTTTTTTTCTCCAAAGCTTTAAATATTACAATATGAAATTTAGTGTGTTTTATATTATTAATACAATATATTATATTATGCTCCGTGTAAAACAAAACAGCTATTGTGCACTTTGAATCGTATTTTTTGTACAATATTTTTTTAGATTTCATATTATGTAAGTATAATATAACAATAACTATATGGGAATAAAATATAATATAAAAAAAAACAAATTTTACGAAATTAGTGAACCGCGTTTTGTTATATATATATATATAAATTATATACTGTGGCAATAAAACAAAACCCCAAAAAACGCAATTCATTTATTGGCATTATTAATTTATATGATAATATATATGTAAGACAATTTTTTATTTATAAAAAAAAATCATTATACCTACCTTGTATTGTGTACATTTTTTTTTTTTGTACTTATATTAAGTATTGTTCTTTTTTTCTAATTACCGTTTAGGATAATCTGTGAAATAAAATTAAAATTTTGAAAAAAGTCGACTAGTAAACGTGTGACTTGTTTATGTCTTATTAACGCGATTTTGTTAAATAAGTATTTTAAAAAAAAAAACAAAAATTCAGTGTGAACGACTTCGTTTGTATATATAATAATATGTATCTAAAAAAAAAAAACTGGCGTTAACTTTCTTCCTATTATTTTGTAGCTATAAATATGTATTTTTTAATCCTTTATTTTATGCTCAAGCCAGAAACTTACCGTAAATTAGCAGCTGTTTTCGATTGTTTCCCGCGACCTTGAACATAGTGTTTGGACAAAGATGTATAAGTACGTTAGGCATGTTTGGTATGTACCTACACTGTTTAGTAGACATGAAGATAATTTAAAAAACGCGGTCGTCGTAGGTGCGGTGGACGAGGAAATCCTTGAATGTATCCACAGACCTACGACCAATGACGGATAAGCAGCTACCGTGCAATATAGCTGGTAATTATTATTAAACTTATGCAATTGCACATCCGTAAGTATGGGTAGGTACATAAATCATGTGCGCGCCACACGATATTAGGTATTTCCTGTGCGGTAGTGTATGACATTCTTTCCCACGGACTGCCCGGGCTATAGTTTTTCGCTTGTGTGGCATACATCTACAAATTAAACTAAAATAATTGTATGAACAAAAAATATGTTCAAAACAATAATTATTACCCGAGTCATGTAAGGCGGGAAACCCGCGAACACGTTCATACCCATGCCTGTATAGGCACTAATGTGGACTATGATTCATAGCTGTTATAATCTGGAAATCGTGGCTTGGCCAAACCTGGTGATAATAATTGACAAGACAGATTTTAAGTATATGTCTATTTTTTTTTTTGTACGATATCTCAATTCAGACCTCCACTATTTATTATTTTACTACAAAAGTGTCATCGCATTTTGAAAAAATAACCGTACAGAAAATAGCGAAAACTTGTTTTTTCTCAGTCGAGGACAAAAGTTATACCTGGTAAGACTTTAATATCAAAACCAATCCGTTATTTAATTTGATTCGCACTGCAAAAACAAGTTTTTTAATAAAAAAGTTGTATTACAATAATTGCTATAATAGTTTCTAGTTCTGTACAAACATTTTAAAATTGCATTCCGATAGAAATGCAAAAAAAACACAAATGTTTAAAAACTATTTTTGAATATTTTAATTATTTAAAACAAAATATAATCTTAAGCATTAACATCCATAATCACAGATACAGCGGTACGGTTTAATTAAACAATAGGTTAAGTACAGAATACCCATACTAGGTTAGGTTATGGTAACAAACTTATTGTGTTTTACTTATATTTTGTTTAAAATAATGCAAAATTTTAAAATAAAACCGATAAAAATAATTTAATATAATAATAACTGGTCCCCGTCACACACAACAATACATATTTTATTATTTTTTATTCAAACATCATAGAAATAACTTCTTTTTTTTTTTGGAAATAAGCTTTTTTGTTATTGTTGAATTAATTATATGTTATATTCTGTCAAAAAATTAAGAGAACAAAACTTCAACTTAGTCTTTAGTTTTATTTTAATGTATACATAAACAAAATTAATTTATATAAATAAGTTCAAAAGACATTGGTTTGCATTTGAAATTGCTAAGAACATCTTCGTCGACAAAATTCAAAATTATTCAATACATACTAACTATTATTTATTTCGCCTATCCCATGCACATATATTTATATAATGTGCATCCTACTTGTATAATACCTACCTATATAATATTGTGCATGCGCTCGCCTCAGCTCAGAACAAGACGAATCCGGGTTGTGTGTTATATCTAATTAATTATATATTTTGCTAATGCGATGGACAAGATAGCGATCGATAATATTTTTACATATAATTATAGACGGAAATATTGCATACGGTACCGTATAATATGGAGAACGAGTTTGGCAAAAATTATGTTTCTACCGGTTAATTCAAATTTAATCACCGTCCGTACTTGAACCATAGCCGTCGATGTGACAATATTGTGTTTCTAGATGCGATACATTTTGACAGCAAATGGATTACTAACAACCATCGCGTTTCAATACTAAGTATACACATAATACTGTAACATATCTAGTAGAAAAACTGCTGGTAGGACGTTGTCAAGAAAATATTTATAATTGCTCTTTGGAAATATTTACATCTGATCTTCTCAGTTCTCTAGAAGAATATAATAGGTGTTATTCTTTCACAAGTTTGAAAAGGCCGGCAAATGCTTTAGGCGCCATCTATCCAACAATACCTCAACCAGCTCTATACACACTCATTATTTCAACGGTCGCCTTCGATGGCTGTACGCTGTGGAATCTACAGAAGGGACATACATGCTACAATAAAGCTGGGATTAACAATTACAGACTTGTGTTTGTTATATTTAATTTATTTTTTAATCCGTTATTGTGTTAGGTGCACACGTGTATTGTTAACGGTATCATTGATAATAAAACGAATGATTTTTAGTGAGTGGGTAATAAATAGTTTTAATGGCTTGGACGAAGAGAGAATTTAAATTTCAGGTTCCATACAGTTTGTGCAAACGACCAGGACAACTAGACATGTTAATAGATAAATAAAATCGTCATAATAGTGAAAAAGTGATTGAATAGTTTGTTATGTACAAAATTCGACAAGGTAGAATAGGTGCTTTTAGGGAAATAAAAACAAATTTAACGAACAGTAATGCTAGAAAAATAATAAAACTATCGAAGTCGACCGACATGGTTAACTAGTTGTGTATGTATTATTAGTGTAAATTTCTGTTGCCGTAGTGCACCTGGCCACGTGCTCGCAGCAAAGGTGTAGCAATATAATTATTACATAAAACATAATTTTATTGTTGTCAAGAATTAACCCGGAACGACAGCATGATGACGTAGTGTAGTTTTGACCTTGACATAAATAAAAATCATCGATACCGCGTTTCA